ATATATTCACGTTTCTGTGATGATTCCCGAGTGACTAAAGGCAGTTACCCCAACCACATTTCAAAATACAGGATTATAAATATCCACTGTGATGTTTGGCTTGCAAATATCTCAGTTCAAAACCCTGTTTTCTTTGGTACATAAGCCCTTCAAATAAGAGGAAGTATTAAAAAATGGTTTATTGTTTTAGACTAGATATTAGCTGCTGTGGGGAAAAAAAAATCTAGGAACTACTGGAGAATTAAAAAATAGATTACAGTGTACCAAGCCCAAGTATTCACCAATTCTGAGTCAGGCTGCAAGTGTCACCAGATTGTCTTGCAAATAATAATAATTATTTTTCTTTTAAAAAAGTGTTCATTTTAGTTGTCAGACATTTTTAAAGCTAACTGTCTTTCATTAGAATGATTAGAAACTTACTTTAAATAAGTTGTTCTGCAATCAATGGAACAACACAAGAAGCATAATTTCCTGTGGAGTCCATACCGCATCCTTCAAACTGAAGTGACTCCTGTTACCTCCCATGACTTTATGATGTCCTCCTCCTCTTTCCCTCTGTATCTGTTCATCCCCACAACTTCTCGTCCTCTTTCACGCTAAGGGCAAGAGGTAGCAGGTATGTGGATCGCTGAGTGATACACACGTTTATCACACCTAAAGCATGCTGACTGCTTGGCTTGCTAAGCGGTCGGCAAGAAGGTCAAAGTAGATAGCTCATGCTGAAACCTTTCTTATCAAGTAGAATCATTTTATCAATTCCCATCTTTTCCTCCTGGAAGCTGATAGTCTTCACAAAGCTTGTATAAACCTGTTTTCTTCCTCAGATTTCTGTCCTCAGAAAAATTTAGTTATTCTAAAACAGAAAAACAGTGTGGTCACATACGCTTCTTTTCTTTAAGAAACCATGTTGAAAACTAAAAGCAGAGATTCTCTCAAATCTGAAGGCAGATACTATCAAGAAATTTGTGATAAAAATCCCAGAAGTTATCAACATTGTGCCTGAATCTGAAATTTTTCATTTAGGTTTTAATCTGCATTTGATTAAAAAAATGATGCTGGATACTCATTTAAAAATAATCCTTTAAGACTAAAAATATCATCTGTAAGAAAGGCTAAATTACTTTCTTTCTTTTAGGGAGCGCAGCTCTTACTAGCAGATAGTGGTGTCCATCTCCACCAGGACTTCTAAAACCCTTTCTCATTGTTCCTCATTTAAGTGATGTGCACACAACTTGCTACAAGGTATCTATTTACACCTGTTTTATAACATATATATGTATTTACAAACACCTAACCATGTTACAAAGTTTTTATGCATTCATGTACCTCACAATAGTCCTCAGCGTGGATTTTGCTGGCTATTGCCAAGGTCAGAGACAAGCAGGTAGTAAACCCAGATGAGCATGAAACAAGTGTGCAGGAAGAAGTTACCAGATCCTTTTTAAGGTAATGATTTCTTTCCAATTCCCAATGTAAACCAACTAACTATTCTCATCTTAACAATAAATAACCTATACTGATATTGTTTCGTGTAACACCGGTCTCTTAAACTGCCTGCCTCCTACAAAATTTTCTGCTGAGAACCCAACCAGCTAAACAGCATTGGAAGCACCACTGGCTGGAGGTAAGGAAATCCCAAATCAATCACAGATTATTCTTCTGTCGGGTCTGCCTGAAAACTTTTCTTCTACTGTGTGGTAACAGATGACAGCATGCTATGTAACCTTTACTTTGGATTTCTGAAAGCAGCAGACTAAGAACCGATACCAACACAACTTCAGGGAGCGTTTCAACTTTTTAATTTGTGGTTTTTTACAAGTATAAAAGAAAACCTATGTATCAGATCTTGCATACTCTTATACATGTGAATAATCCTTATTGAGCAAACCCTTGTGTGACTCAGGACTACTCAAGTGAGTACAGTTTTTAACAGTAGCCCTGTACCCTTCCATTGAACACGCAGGCCTCTAACATTCGTAGAGAGTAAAACTACAGTAAACGTGCAGCAAGAGATCAGCACTCATACACATACATCCTTTGTAGCCAATACTATCCCTCTCTCAGTGCAGGCACTGGGTGTATTGATAACAACACTGTCTAGACTGTCATTATCCTGGGAGAAACTGCCTCTCCTAGAATTGTAGCACACTTCAGAAAAATAAGCTTGTCCTTTAAAACACAGAGCATCTTTGTCTCTCTGACTCCCTCTCATACCTTCTCTCTACCAGCGATGCCAGCACAGCTAGATCAAAACATACATAGAGCAGCAACACTGTTAGTTAACGGGCACTCCATGCTGTGGTGACACGAGGCACAGCAAAAGCAACGGCCCTCATGTTGATGGAGTGTTTAAACTGTATTTGGTTAGTCTGCACAACTAAGGCAAAACCATATGACAGTAATATAACCCATACAAATCTATCTTTTTTTTTTTTCCTCTCCCTCTCTTGTAACGGTGATTTAAATATTCAGTTCCCTATGCATGCACTTCAGGAGACTGGTATAAAAATAGGAAGTAATATGGCACACTCTCTAAAAATATGCATATACAGTAATCTTCTTCACTGATACGTGAGGTTAAATGGTACTCACTATGTATACATACTGCAATCCTGGCTGTGTAAACTCTCCTACTCTTGACTTCACTGTAGCACAAGCATTTCACTGGCTGAGGTCTGTGAAACTTCCACTGTTTCCAAGTGGCAAAATCACAACTGCACCATCACTTACAGTGTCCAAAGTCTGCTTTAAGGATTTGAGAGCTCTCTCTGTAGATATGAAGTACTTCTACATATGAAGTCACACCCCCCCCCCCCCCCCCCCCCAGACTAACAATTCAGACCTAGGTACATCTGTAGATAGGCAACAACCATAATTCCCTGATTATTGATGAGTATCCAACTATAAAGTCAGATACTCAGTTTTAGCTAAGAACACCTGAAAATTTGGCCCTGTGTGCTGAACTCTGCAGGTCTGGAAGCAGGGGTTACATTCTCACTTGCTCCTTGAACTCACTACTGAAAAAAAAAAATCTGAACTACTCTTCTACATCTAGAAAAGTACAGAGAAATACTACACTGTACTTCCACATACAGAAGTACAGAGAAATACTGTAGTGTTTTCAAGGAGTCACTTCACTATTCTGTGCTCCTCAGAGAGAGAAATCAGGACTGAGATGTCTGGTGTCTTCCCCAGATACGTGAGGTACATTCCTATGGCAAACTCAGGCCAAAAATTTCCATTACCACCCATCAATAATTTAATGAGATCTACATACACGTACCACACACAGACACATATTAAAATAAAAAACGTAACTCCATTATAAAACTGAAGTATGTGAAGTATGAATACATTCATTTACAGTGCAGTAAAGAAAAAAATAAAAACAACTTAGCTTTTTGCAGCATTGTATGTGACATATTTCATTATAAATGACCTCAGACCCAAACTTGAAACACTTCTAATAGAATAATGCTGATGTCATCCCTACTGAAGAACTTCACATCCTCCATGATGGTAGGATGAAGGCTAAGCTTAGGATACTAGGAGATGCTTTGGGTCATGAATTATTTGTTTGCACTAGCAGCCATAATGCGCAATACTCAAAAGAAATGCAAGGTGCTAAGCAAAGAAAGTGCAAAAAGCTTTCACTTAATTTTTGAAAATACAGTTGTGTTTGTGTATTTCCACTAAATTCTTCTGCTAAAGCTTCGTCTGCTAAAGCTTTCTCAGCAACTTGCAAAATACAGAAACACTTTTATTTGTGGTGATATAGTGCATAGAAGAAAAAGTCAACAACTTCCATTTCCTCTTTCAGATTTCAAGCCTGTGGTACTTCTCAGGTAAAGAAGTCAGAGGGTTTTGAACTACTGATATTAAACTAACCATAACATATCACAGCCTCAAAAAGAAGGACTCAGTGTCTTCTATCCCCACATAACAAGTCACTGAGTCGCCTGCTTGGTGTACCACCAACCCCCTGACCATCAGGGTAATGCTTGTCTCAACTTCAGCCATTTAAAAGGGAGACATAGTCAAAACTACTTGTCAAGGCATCTGGTTAAGACTGAGTAATAGGTCTCCAGAGAATGATTCATATCCCCTCCCTTAGAGGACATTTTAAGATGGGTTGAATTACTCCCTGGAGATGTGCTCTGGAGAGCACCCACATGACTAGTTCACACTATCTGCCCAACTTCTAGATATTTAAAGTTATATAAAGTAAACACCACCCTAATACCAGAACATCACGAAGTATTCGATAAATGATAGTGTCAGAAAAATGAGCTATTCCAGAACATCACAATTAATGTGTTAAATTTAATTCCCTTACTAACAAGCAGCAAATATGAAGAGTAAAACAGTGCAAAGCCAATAACCCCTCTGTCCATTCTCAGTAACAGTCACATTTCAGTATTAGTGCTGGCTAATAGGCTGTTTCTTGGCAACCTAGACTACAGTGCATTGTAGAAGTCCAATTCTTATACCACAGAGAGAAGTATTATCTTATTACACTGATTAGAGTGTAAAAAAAGTCTGCAATTTGATCAAAGCAGACCACAGCTGCAGTCAATAGATAGTCAAGGACTGTGCTCTGTTTCCATGCTAGGGTGGCATGCCATAACAACATCCTATCTGAAATAAAATGCATTTCCTTCCATCCTCAGATTTCCTGAGTAAGATGAGCATCAGGCCAGTTTTTGAAGGATGTCTCCTATAACGATTTCAAAATAAGCACGTGATAATAAACCTATCTGCAAAAACCCTCTGAAATAGAAGTCTACAAACAATGATTGCTCTCTATGTCCATACACAAACATACACAAATACACATACTCATACAGTAGGTTTTCTGCAAAGGTAGGCTTGTCAGTCGTCATGCAGTGCTACACCTGCAATAAAGAAATCCCATCCGCAGGACACAATGTCCAAGATACACAACGTTCCCAGCAGGCAATCTGCCACCTTCCAAAGGCACCTACTTGCTTCCAGTTGTACTAGGCATTGGAAGAAACACTTTGATGAGGATTCCCCTTTTGAGAATCTATTGTCTTGCTACTGCTCCATGCTTCATCAGTATTTTCAGATTTCATCTCTGCCTTGTCCATCAGTACGGTGGATTTGGGAGGCTTGCAAATAAAGCAGAGGAACTTGAAACAGGACAGCAAACCTTCGGAAATGCTGGATGAGAAAAGCTTTTTGCATGGGTGGCAGAACTGGTAGAACACCAACATGAAGAGGACAGCCATGCAGTAACCTATCAGGAGCTGCAAGACCAACAACGGGGCGCAGACATACAGGTAGATATCGGTTTTATAGACGTACCACATCAGCAGGAGGAATGCATTCTCAATGAATCGCAGCATGTAATACACAGTCAGTCGGTACCAATTTTGGGATTTGTTAATTAAGTCAGGATCATTGAGCTTCACCTGAACTGCTGACCAGCAGAACATGTTAATGCCAGCATACAAGAAGGTGAGAAGGCACAAGACGATGGTAGTGCCGACCCTGCTCAATGCCTTCTCTATGTTCTCGGGAAATGGCGACTTGCTTTGCCAGAAGAGAATCCATGGGTAGAAGAAAAAAACAAAGAAATTCACTAGCACGACAGGGAGAGTCCAGATTTGAAGGACTGAACTGAACAGGACCAACACCGTAACCCGCGTAGCAATCTCAAAGCTTCTCCACATGAATATGCAGAGGTAGGCGGCTGGTTTCACGCTGACATCATAATCATCATACTTAATCTTAATAGCCAGGATGTTGCAGCGCAAGGCGCCATATACAATTGACAGGAGAGAAAGGACCATAAAAATACCTACAAAGAGAAAACACAGGTCAGGACCTTCAGCTTAGCAGAAGTTAAAGACATTGCATCAGAGTAGTGCAGATGTAGTTGTCTTCATGGCAGGTCTGGGGATTCCCAGCAGGGTGCAATGCCAAAAAACCCCCCATTCCTTGTATACAATTCTGGGTTCTTACTCTAACCCTGCCTCCTATTTTCGTCTCCATTTGTTACTTTTCCAAGTAGCTAGAAAGAAAAAAAAAAGGCACTTAAGGTCACAGGTGTCTCTCCCTCCTCCCCCCACCCAGGGCTGTTCATACACACACTGTCTTTGGTAATTATACAGCTCAGCCGTAAGAGTATCCAAGCTGCTCTCAGAATCTCACAGTACTCCACGAGGCACAGGGGTGCTACTCCCCCTCTGTACAGATGAAGAACTGCAAAACAGAAGCTGAAATCTTGGGAGTTAATTGGGTGTGCAGATACCTCAGTGCTTGTGAAGTTCCATGTCGAAGCAAATTGTCTAAGCTCACAGAAGAGCTCTGCAATGGCACTCAAAATTGAAAGTCAAAGCACTTTAAACCAAGAACCATCTGCACTTTTTCTGCCTGTGTAGACGGATATTTGCTCACCTGTCTACACTGTGTTTTCCTATACATCCATTTTCCTCATACACGTGTCTATATCATGCATTTAAAAACAACACTCCTCCTAAAAATGTCTTTAAATTCAGATCAACTTTCTGTATCTCTCATCTACCCAGAATCCCTCAAGTGAAGGTTTCTCAGCATTTAAATTCTGCAGAAAGTGAAGGTAGAGGCCAGTTGTTACCTGGCCTCCCCTCCAGAAGCAGTAGGGGAAAGCCTTCCAGCGCTGCAGGAGGGGGTCTTGTCTTACCACGTTAAGTAGGTACAGATGGATAAGAACCCTGGATGCATAGAATAAACATTCATAGAGAAGTACCTTGATGTTCAGAAGTGTGAACTGCCCACGGTTTTGTTAGCATTTGCATACTTTCTTCACAATTTTTACCAACATGCTGAATAGCTGATTTAGGGGACTAATTTTAGGCACCCCCAATCACTACTTTTAGTTTCAATCTTAGCATTTTGTCCATGCAAAGAACACTGCAAATGCAAATTAAGCACAGTAAAAATGATTCAGTTGTTTCTTTTAGAGTTTCAATGAAACTAATTCTTTATTATGTCAAATACTTTTGCAATGCCTAGCAACCAGTGCTTCCTGCAGCCTTCAATTAGTTTATATGTCAATATCCTACAAATGAACTGGATTCCCTGCTTCGCTATAGCTATGTAGCCATGACTATAAGTTTGTTTTTCTAATGAAAGTTATTAATTTCTGAGCATGATTTTGAAAAAAAAAAGCGTATTTTAGGATCTCTAACAACTTTATAACAGGATTTTGTCTATCATTTTAGCTAACCTCTCTCCCACCCCAATCCTCAAACATCTCTGAATTACTTTGGAAAAGAATTAATTAATCATTTATATCTAAATTTCCAATAGCACTCAGTACGCTGAAAAACATTTGCCATTCTACATGGTAATTTTGTACATGCCAGTTGGTGGCGCATATATTCTCTGAAAATGGTTATGTATTTGCTTGTTTAACACTTAAATTTTTAATGGGTGTTTTTAAACATCTTTCTTACAGCACTGTACTTGATCTGAGACTTTTTAAACATTGTGTCTTAGAAAACATTGGCTGAAAGCAGAAGAGCAAGCGAGTGCAGGCAAGAATATCGCTTGATATCCTGTGGCTCTACAAAAATCTTTCCTGTAGTTTTGAGCCAGCTCTAGAACTGTGAGAGAACAAATAACTTCCATCAGCTAATTAAGCAAAACACTATTCTCGGAGTTCAAGAAACAAAAAAAACCCAACCCAGTGGGGACAGGGTGCTGCTGTCCTGGAACTCTGCTTGCCTTCTGCTTTGATAAGCTGAGACATTCACCTTATTACCCAATTTCATTTTAGGGATTCTATATTAATCTCAAACTTGTCTTAAAACCTCAAGCCTTCAAAAAAGGCACTTCTCCATTGATAGAAACCAGGTCGTGCCGACTCTGATTTAATGCAGTAGTCCAGTCCTGCTCCTTTCCCAAAAGCTCAGTACTGTCACCAAACCTTCAGTTCAAACATCACTTTTAAGTCTGAGAAAGATGGTTTGAAGCAACCACAAAGGGAAATGTGGGAAGGTGACGTTATTATTACTTTTACTCATCCTGAGCAGGCAAAGAAGTAAAAATTTAAAAGGCAAAGTATCCTCCCCTGGAACAGTCCCAAATCCCGTAGCAGTCATATGCCATAAAGGTGGTATTTCTTTTCTCCCTTCCCACTCCCAGAAGGCTGTACTTGTCTTACAAATCAGAGGTGCACACTCACAGAGCCATTCAGGGAGGCACCGTTTTATTTTGTTGGTTTTTTTTTATTATGTCTTAAGTCTTTTCAAGACCTGGTCCTTCCCACTTCAGAAATTGCTAAGAGAGTGAATTCTGCTCTAGATGAGCTTCATCACAAATATCTATTACTGAAATCTTACATTCAGCTGAAGGATCGTAAGTTATCTATTATATATACTATAGTTTTCTGAACTGATAATCAGAACCCTTGAAAAATAAGGGCACTTACTTTGTTACTTAGGGCAAGACACCTAGATACACATTTTTTTGCCTTAAGATATAATTTCAACACTTAGAAACAACTATTAATACTCAAAGTATGTTGTTCAAACAATGAGGAAAGTATTCTGTGGTCAGAGCTTAATGAGTTTAGGAGAAGCAACTGTAGAAGCATCTTAAGATATCTAGTAAGACCACCTACAAAGCCCAGTCACGAACATTAGGAAAGTGACACTGCAAACACTAGTAAGTTGAAAAAAATCATAAACCCAAAACTTCTATTCTTGAAGATGGCAGTCACTGCTACAAATTTTCACTTAAAGAAAAACAGTACCTTTTTCAGCAGAATAATTTTATTTTTAAATGGTTGGAAATCCGCCTTTTGAGATTATTTTAGCACTGTAAGCAACACTTGAAAAAGATAACTTGACTGCTGTTAACGACACAAAAACATTGAACTTGCAAAAAGATTGCTCTTAACGGAAGCAGATCTTCCGCATTCAATACTGCGCACTGAGAACTGGACCTTTTTCAAGGGTAAGAGGCCAAGTCACACATCCCCCATCTACAGCCAGCTGTTCTTATGATTAACACTAACTCAGGTCTTTTTGGCACCTCCTGGCCTTGCGCTTCTCCAGGTGGTACTACCTAAGTGAAGAGGTCCTGATAGCTGCCCAACTGACGTGAGCCTGATGTCAGCCACCTCTTCGAAGCAAGGTTATAGCTGGCTCTAAGGCAATGCATGATACTGACAGACGCTGAAGCACTGAGTACAGGGTGAAGCCCAAATGCACATGAGAGACCTTGGTGTCTGTTCTGGGAGTGGCAATTACAAAGTCAGACTGGGCATTTCATACAGTAACAAGTTAGGAACTTCTTCCCAGTTACGCTGTAAACAATGAAAGAGCTGAATGTCTACAACTAGGCTCAGATTAGGCTATTACATGTGGGTTTCCAATGTTGCATTTCATACAATTCTGTGCATTTCATGCTAAACAGTCACCGAAGCTTTACGTCTCTCATCACTAACCTACAGGCTTTTCCTGCTTTTGCAACTCTCCTTAGTTCTCTTGATCTTACGTTCTTGGCAGACAGTGAAATGACAATTTTGGAGAATGCCAGACACTGGCAAGAATCTGATCATCCAGAAGAAAACATCCAGAGAAATTAATGAATGCCAGGAAATACACAAGAAAGATGCAGTATGGCTCTGGTTGACAAAGGGCTAGGCAAGGATGCATGCTCTTTTCAGAACTGTTCAATTCAGTACTGGAAGCAATAACAAGTTTCAAACAGACCTGAAAGGGACAAACCATCCTATGTAGCGTGATGGTAAACAGCTTTAGGTTCACAGATAACACTGACCTCATTACCACTGACCAGGCAGAATTTACACAGAATAACAGACAGGGTAGTGTAGGAATCCAGAAAAATAAGAGACTGATGAGGAGTCAAGACAAAAAATGTAGAAATCAAAATACAAGAAGAGAGGGATAATTATAACAGAGACAAATGGAAAAAAGCGTGCACTTTGGATGACCAGTGTCAAAGAACAGGGAAGTTGAAGACATCTGAAGTGTGGAAGAGCTGGACTGGCTGTTAAATTACTTTGACGATGCTGCAAGATCAAAAGGTTGAAGTCATGTCCCTATACGTGAGAATCCCCGTGTACACATAACAAACAACAAGCTGAAACTGTGCTATGCATCATTCCCATTTACTCTGGAGGCTGAATACTACTGGTGGACAAAAGGTACTGCTGCAGAAATAAGCTGGCTAAAGAGACGGCAGAAAGTTTCAGTATTTCAGAAGGCAAAATACACACAAGAGGAATATGGTTAGGACTTGTTTTTCTGGTGAATGAGCTCTAATAGACATTGCCATTGTTCCTAAATCACTAAAACAACCCACTTTTTTTTCTTTTCATTTCTATAATTTAGAATTACACCTGCTATGGAGATGGCTTCTGAGAGACACGAGATGACTACTGCATTTGCTGGTGGGTTCACTGAACTCCCTGGTGAGCCAGCTGATCTCTGGTTGTTTAACTTTGCTTCACCCACAGAAGGTCACTTGCCAGTCTGTGATTCAGAATTTGTCTCAGCAGTGACTGATAAAAGTCAGAAGTAATAGAGAGTTACAAATCATTATTAAATATGCAATTCTCTAATCATCTGGAACACAGCGCTTCTCCTTGGCAATCAGGACCAGTAAGGTCAACAACAGTAATAAAAGAAATACAATAAAAAGGTGACCTTTCTCAAGCAAATGCCATCTGCAGTGAAGTGACTGGAAATTTTGCTAATTGCACCGCTCAGCAAAGGATTCAGCTGCTTTATTCTCATCCCATGTCACAGATGCCACGGTTATTCGAAGAGCCTACCTTAGCTATGCAGTACTCAGAAACTGTCAGAAGCAATGCCTTTCAAGTAACTACTGCTATGACCTTAAACAAGTACTTTTGTATGAAGACCTTAACCTGTTGCGATATCCTTATGTGCTGACTCGCCCTTTGGTATACTAAAGTTTTCCATTCCCTGAGTTGAGGGGAGAACCCTGACGTTATTATAAAGGCTTCTCCAAAAATCTTAGTTCCTTACCTTGGTACACTGCCAACCAAGATACCAGAACTGAAGAAAGCAATCAGATTCATAACGTGTCACCCTAGCCTCAGCCTCCTTAGCTGTGAAGCTGGTAAAGATCCTTGGCCTCTCAAGGCCGCGGAGATATAACAAGAGCTATTTTGTATTTCAGTGGAAACACACCTCCAGTTCACACAGGTGCCAAAGTCCTTTCTTACACCGAAAAGCTGGTTGTCCTACGACCAGCTGGAGTAGGTTCTTCATTTAGCAGCCAGCCAGCAAATCAAGACTTTTTGTTTTTTTCAAGGAGCTGGAGCACATCATGGAGCAAGATGTAGAGTCCCACAGAGAGAGATGTGTGCTGGTAAGTCCATGTGGTGCGTCACTGCTTGGTGAAGGCTTAACAGCTTGGGTCCAGAGATGAGATGGCCACATTTGCATACCAGCTTACTGAATCCTGCCTTTTGATTCCAAATTCAGAGTCTGGCACAAGTAAAGACAGTTCAGGTCCTCAGTCCATATTTGAAACTGCATTCCTGAAAGTACACCCTCCTTAATGCAGCATGGCAAAACATGCTCTGCACTGTACCCCAAGGAATTTTCCAAAAAGTCTGCTCAAAAACCAAAATGGAACAGAGGTAATTTTTTTTTTTTTCCTCTTCACGAAGACAGCTTAGTCCCTCCAGCTGCCTCCCTCTCATGCCATAATGGCCACTTATCAAATTAATGTTTTAATAGCAACCCAACTATGCTACAGGAAGCATCATAGTCTAAAACATGATGGTATAGATAAACTTGAGAGCAACATCACCATCAAAAGCTGTCAGGGAGATGAAACCCATTGCAATATGTTTGGTTCTTGCCCAGGGCAGCTACACCTGACTGCTCACCCTTCTCCTCTCCCTCCCACCAAAACATGGAAGTGATAACAACAGCTCGACCTACTTCTGGCAGCCGTGATCTCCTGCTGCAGGACACAGATGTAGAGCTGGAGCGTGAGCTGGGGTGCTGAGCCGAGGAATGCCTGGATCACAGACGCCCTGCTGAACGCAGACCTGTGCGTACACAGCTTGCCTTCAGCCTGGCCCACTTCCTTCTCAATTTCTTCCGAGTACCCATCCTTGGGCATCTGCCTCTTCTTCGTGATGCTGACATAGGGCTCTTCAACTCTGCCAGCGTGGAAGTAAATGTAAAAGACTTCCACACACCTACAAGCAAATCAGTAAATAGAATAACAGGAAAAAAATGGAAGAAAAGCATAGGTCTTTCCACTCGTTAGTATTTTAAGCCATCACATACCAAGTCATTTGTTCACAGAGCAAAGTCTGTACATTTTCTCCTCTTGGTAAATTTGGAATATGACAGATTTCACCCTTTAAAACGTGAACTACATGTGACCAGAGGGCAAGAATCTGGCAGTGCCCTTTGGGCTGCCTGTAGTACTCAGACACAGGAGGCGGTTTAGTTGTTTCCTATGAGCTGCTCTTGCTCTCTGCTGTCCTATTAAAGTCCTTAAACTACTCATCCACTACGATGTTCACAGGCTCCCAACCCAGGAGGCAAGTTGGAAGTCTTTCTTCAGATTCTCATGTCCTTCTCTTGGTGTTATCTGTACATCTGTGACATGGCAATAAAACCACTTCTCATACCTTCACCTTAAACAAACAATCTCAAGACACTGGAGAGAAGCTCAGGGTACGAGCGGGTGCACACACCTCAAACAGTTGGACCCCAGTCCTCGCTTTACCAAGCGATGGTCCCAAAACACAAGTAACAAGCCATAGCAGCAATAATGAGAACAAGCAGTTTAGAGCCTCACAACTCTGGATATTAACATTTTTTAAAAAGACACAGAAATAGGAGCTTTACTCCTTATGTTTGCTTACATTTATTGCACTGTTTAAGGAATATTAAACACAATCTTGCAAAAATATTCTAAGTAAGAAGACGCAGTGTTTTCAGTTGCTGCGGCTCTTTGTACTTTAAACACAGGTGAACCAAACCCTCTTGTTTATGTAGGTCTAACTTACCACAGACTTTCAAAGAAAAATGTGGTGCCAGCACATACATTTCTATTCATAAATTACATATTGTTGTAATACACGCTGCCTCTACCCATGCACAGAGAATAACCCATACATTTCGGAGGGAATGGAAAAGGGCTAAAGGGGTTGGCAGCAGCAAATGCTGTAGCAACGAGGACAAGTTGGCTCCTTGAGTATTAAAGAAGATAATACAGCTTCAGACACATTTATGAAAGGAAAGGTTCTGAAACTTCCTTCCAATGCCTATTTTTAGTTTGGCAAAAACTTTAGAAAAACTATTCTAAGAGATTTGCTTGGGTATGAAGGTGTCAAGGGTGGGCTTGGGCATCAAGCAGGACCCAAAACACAAAGGGGAACAGTCAACCTCAGGATCTACTGAGGTACAGATGAAGTCACAAGCTGAGGGGGAAGGGAGAGGAAAGAAACACTATTTCTGTCACATTGCATAGGGTCCTAAAAATACAGGGCTTGCTGCGGAGGAGTCCATGTACAGCAGGGCCATAAAGGATAAATGGCATTGACTACTGAAAAATAACCCCCCCAAAAGCCCAAACCCAGTGCAGACACAACCTGTTTTCTCTTCTACGCCTAACACTGGTACGGGCTTCAAGAAGAAAAACAATTGTAGTGTGAGCAACAGGACTGGTGATGGCTGGCTTCCAGCCCAGAGGGAAGCTCGGGGGAGAGAAACCCTCACTGCGAGGGCGACCTGTCGCACCAGCTCTGGTCACATCTCCTCCCATGGCCCGACACGCATGGTATCTTCTTCTTGTGTAGGCATCATCCTCTGATGAGGACTGAGCTGTCTTCTTTCCTTCCATAGTGCCTGCTGGGGTTCATCTCCTCCACCTGGTTGCCTCTGTAGGTAATACTTGCTGGAATGCAGCATCTCCAAGTCTCTGACAGGTCAGATTTGGCCAGTGAGTTTTTGTAATGTACAAATAGGGCTTATCTTCTATTTAAAAGTATCTCACAATCACAAAACACAGAGCTATGCTTGTCCGAGACTTTGAATTCCCATTTCCTTCTCAGCTTGATTTCCCCCCCCGCCCCCCCCAGCCTTTTCAGGGAAAGCTCACAGACCGAACAGTAAAGCAGCACTGACAGAAATTCAAATAAAAGCATACTGATATTTGTTTTAGTAAACTTGATTTAATTTTTTCCCCTAACTGGACCACTAGCAAGTTTCACCTGCTCTAGATGGAGAGCAGTTTTAGGATCCTCTAGTACTACCCTTGATTCACTAGGCTTCAGCTACTATTATCACTAAAGCTATTTGAAGTGCCTGGTGCACTGGAGGCTCCATTCACAGTGGAGACTTTCTATTTTCCCCTTGTTAATCTTTTCAGTCCCTGCCAGTCTTGTTCCATGTGAAAGAATCCACACAGCCAAAAATAGGGTGTGAAAAATTAATAAAGCACAACAACTTATGAAGCCAACAGAGATTTTGAAACCAACAAATTGATTTTATTCCAAAAGAAAGATCCCAGAACATTTTTGTCTCACTTAGTATTCACAGCCATCTATTCATCCTGAGCTGAGGGTAAGTCTGAAGCTATTACAGAAAACGAGATCTCAGCATCAGCCTCTGAACTCTTGCTGTGTGTGATGAGAAGCAGATATAGTCTAGGGACCCATCTAACACATATGCAGTAATCCCATAGAAAAGATAAGATTCATGAGACTACTGACTATAGCAAATATTATAGTCAACAAAACGTTGGGTTTTGGAGCAAGCATTTGGTTTGTATTTATTAGCTAGGTATTAAGTAGCAGTATATTGTTTGTGATGGGAAATTTTATGTCTGTATAGAAAAGCAAACACAATGTGAAATGAATGGTCTGATGAGCAAACCTTAGGGCCAAAGGGGACTTTTACCAGTACAACAGAGTAATAAAAATGGTATGTGCAAGCACTCAGATTACATCAGTAATGATGCCCATCTTCTGAGCCCTGCCCATTCTGTGCAAGAGTGTCTCTGGAGGTCATGCCTTCTGGGGCCAGTAACAAATGTACTCAAGACTCTAGCTGGCGCCACTGCACAAGGAACTGCTTCAAACAGGAGCAGATTGGCAGCTGATACACTAGAAAGAAAGAGCACCAATCCAAATGTTTAAGTAATAAAGTGTAGGAGGGGCATAGGCACTTGAAGAACCATCCAGGTGAGAAGGGTTCAGAACAGTGATGAAGAATCAATTCAGATCACGTACCTGTGCCACGTTATGATTTTGTCTATGAAGTGCATTCAGAAAGGTTGTCTTTCAATGAACTGGCTTGTTCTTTTTTAGTATGAAACACAACTAAGAGACAATGCAGGAAGGCGATTGCTTCAAGCCAGTTTTCCTCCACAGTTACAAACTCCACTACAGAACAGGGAATTCCCCAGAAGCCCCAGTTGCTCACTGCTCATTGCTGCTCTGCTCTGGAGGAACAGGAATGGGAGATCCCAACTTCTGCACAGTCCATCTCCTGCAACGCAGTGATGTTTAGGGCCCTTTCAACAGATCCTCCCTCATGTGGCATCAACAGCAGCAGGCATGCAGCCGGCCGATTTCACTGCATGTAAAGCAATGACAGTTGCAGTATGGGCTCTGAAGGAACTAAAATTACTTTGCAGGAAAAAAAGTCAGATCTACTCTCTACAGTGAAAGTTAAAAGGTAAGAAAAAGATGGCGCTGCTTTCTCCCCTGCTGCTAAACCTTGGCAGAGAGAAGAGCTATACTTTTTCAAGGATCCTGATGGTGCCTACAAAGAGTGATTCAGCAGCAACACATTCATCTTCTACACAGTCAGTAGGAGGAATAATCCTATCCTTATATGCCTGCTGAGAGCAAGCACGCACCTCATTCCCTCTTTTAATCATGGATGTGTGGGATTTAAATACAGGCAAAAGTAATGGTGGTGTGAAGAGGGAGCAGGCAATGAAAACAGGGAACTTCCCACAGCCAACAAGCGCTTCAAGAGCAAACGGCTATTCGAGAGACCTATCCACACATGCTCACTGCAAATGTAGATTTCTCTAATGACTCAATTTTTAGTAACTCCTTTTCTTTACAGAAGTGTGCAAAAGACTTATCAGTCCTACAGATTTGCTTACCTGTGTCAGAGAAAGATTTGTTCCTCACTCATTGCTCTACCTTCCATCTGCACTGACTTTCTGTTCATTGCATCTTGGACACCTAACACATCTGCTCAAGAATACAGAAGGAAAAAAAAAAAAGCACCTGAAGAGGGTCTAGGCATATTCTTCCCATCTGGAAAAGAGGGAGATGCATCAACAGTTGTAAAGTTTAGAGCTAGCAGAATCTCCTACAGTAAGGTCGCCAATGGAAGAGAGCTTTTTAGACCTGTGCTATTCTGAACTATAAAGCAGGTCACTAGGAAAGAGAGACTACCCACGAGAGACAATGCTTCTGCACAACGTGACTGAAGCATTATCTGCACCGTTATAGCTTATTAGATTTCAAACTGCAGAATTAGGTGCCCAAAACATTAATGACTCCAATAATTTCAGCCTATAGGAGTTTTGGGGGGGGGTTTTTTTGTTTCTTTTTAAACTTCCTGCAGCTCACAGAATCTAACTTCGGCTGTAACAGCAGCTCCTCTGGCAGTTTGATGCAAACTTCCTACTGCATCTGCTTTGCTGCTGTCTACACGGTACACAGACACGTGACTGTTTCTCCTTATGCCTTGAGAAACAAAGATGCCTTGAGAAAAAAGCCCGATGCCATTTAAAAAAAAAAAAAAAGTCTACTGTTTATATCCTTGCCCCATTAAAATCTGAGGAACACAGTCTGTTCTATGTAGGGGCCTGTTTCTCCTTATGCCTTGAGAAACAAAGCCTGATCCCATTAAAAAAAAGTCTATTGTTTATATCCTTTATATATTTTATCCTTTATATAAGCCTGTTATATTGGCTTTCAATTTTTTTCTCAAGAGAAGTTCATCATCCTGCAAGACAGAGCCATCTCCTAATTGCATGTTCCTGCATGTGGAAGAGCCTGTAGGCCCACATTCAGCTAACAGAGCACTAGGGACAGTAGTTTCAAAGACACCAGCAGTCACTTAGCTTTCCTCTCCGTGAAGTTGGTATCAGAAGGAAGCACCGCCAAGCTCACACCAGTCCCTTCTGGATATGCCACTTCAGTACTGCCTTCAGTAA